TACATTGTAAAAATGGACACATTACCTTTCACATTTCAGCCTTTGTGTTAAAGCTAGAGGTTTTCAATGATTTATATTTTAGTAAGACTGTATTGTGCTTTCCTTATGTTGTGTAAATACACTGTAAAAAAAATTACGTAGTACTGAATATAATCTTGTTTTTTTCATGTGCAAAAGCACGAGTAAAATTCTGGCGTATGCCATTTGTTAAAGTAACACCGTTTCACCGTTTTCCATAAAGTAAATGGCATTTGTTTCTTTGTTTGGTGTAAGACAATATTAACTCAATGACACATTTCCTATTTAACGACAGTTTTATATACTTTGTAGGTTCTTTCCTTCATACACCAAACTACGAACCCCACAGTCTGCGACATTTTCAGAAACTCGCCTGGACTTCCAGAAGTTAGTGCCAGCTATGCGATTTCCTCCTCATTTATACACATGTACAAGTCTTTGATTGTTTTTTTTTCATCGGTTTTAAGTACCCTAGAAGATTATCCTACCCCCCAAACTCACTCGGCAAAAATGTCTGTATATATATATATAATTTCACGACACCATTTCTAAACATTCCCCTAGTTAAAAACCGTGAAATTATGCACACATATTTAACTAGGTCAGCCTGTACATTTTGAAATCTAGGAACCTTTCTATGGCCATTTTACTTGTCTGCGACTGTTTCTGAGCCACTCGCAGACTTTCAGGAATTTTGGTGCAAGAGGATAAATTTACACTTTTGACTTTTAGGGACCCCCCCAGAGTCCATTTCAGTGGTCTGCGACAGTTTCTGAGGTACTAGCAGACTTTCAGGATTTTTGGTGTCAATGGAATTAATGACATTTTGGACTTCTTGGGACCCTCCAGAGTCCATTTCAGTGGTCTGCGACAGTTTCTGAGGTACTAGCAGACTTTCAAGAATTTTTGGTGCCAATGGAAATAATAGCATTTTGGACTTGTTGGGACCCTCCAGAGTCCATTGCAGTGGTCTGCGACAGTTTCTGAGGTACTCGCAGACTTTCAGGAATCTAGGTGCCAATGCAGATAGCTTGCAATGAAGTTTAGTTAATACAAATTTACGTTTTTAATGAACGGTGTTTGATCATGTATGTCACGTGATAAAGGGTGGGGTAGTCTTCGGACAGTCTTCGGGGTAAGCTTTGTTGCAAGCTTCGGGGGGGGGGGCAGGCTTCGGGTTTTGTGAGGGAAATATTCGGGGCAGGCTTCGGGGCAGGCTTCGGGGCAGGCTTTCGGGGCAGGCTTCGGAGGGCAAGCTTCGGGGGCAGGCTTCGGGAAACCGAAGCAACCGAATATTTCCCTCACCAACACATACCTACAATTAGCCTGTAAAAACTGGAAAGAATGCTCATGCATGTCGGTCGTGCATACGGAAAATATGTGTCAGGTATCAGTCCGAGTTGCATTATCTTATCAGTCAGTCAAGCTCATCCGAAAGGTTGATGTATATAATGGTCTCATTGGCCTCCCGTACAACAAAATAGTCTCATCACAAAAATCGACTTGCATACATATTTAGAATCATTCAGTGAATTGCTGAGTTCAAAATTTATAGGTAACCTTTTGGTTGATAATAACTTTTAAGGACATGAATGGTGACATGTCCGCGGTCCGTACTCTCAGTGCCTGAAAGGGCAGATGAACCCTCATTAAGCCTAGAAAACACACACATATGCACACGAACACGCACATACATACATACATACATGCATACATACGAGCATACATACATCTGGGATATCTAGTATTTAGGATGCTATATTTATAAGTCAAATAATTAATGAGGAACTGTGGGTAATATGTGTTTTAAGAATTGTATTTTTGTGATAATTGAAATACAAAAGTGAAGGATATGTGTATTTTTATTCATGATTTTAGGTTGAAAATAATTTTGAGAAAAAAAAAATGTTTCTTGAAATATATAATTCGGATAATTTAGGAATGAGTTTGAGATTTTAATTTTACATTTTATTATACATGTATCATACGCTCGGTACACACTACAAAGGTATATGTGCATGCGCATATACACTTTTTTAAATTTGATTTAGGATCGTTTCCTTATTGTGTTACTCTTTTTGGTCATAGTGTTGCACATTCGTTATTATTTCTACTTCTATTTGCATATTCCCGCGTTACTGAACAGTGTTGTCTTGAAACTTAAATAAGTGTTAGTGACCATCATACCCACTTCCAGACAAGTATTTATAATAGTTCGTATTTTCCATGGCAGGACAGATTGTGTTTTGCTGTTCATTTATTCTTCTCAGTTGTTTACAGTAGAAGATATTGTTGTTTTTTTTTTTGCGCATGTTTCACCCGAGGGATCTTCTGTTTATGATAATTTAGAAGGCACTGTGTAATATTTCAGCCAATAATTGGTATGCATAATTTAAAGATTTTTTGTTCGATGTTTCCGCCATACCACTTAACACAGAGAATATGACCGAAATAAAAATGAAGATTGTGTTGAAGTAGATAAACCGTTTACTCGTGCTGAAATTGAATCAGCCATCAATAATTTGTCTAATGACAAAAGCCCTGGACTTGTTGACATACCATCAGAGTTTTATAAATATACATTAAATGAGAGTATTAACATCATAGAAGCGATATTTTAGAGAAACCTTAACGCGGGCGTTTATCCTAAAATTTGGGGTAAAAGCGTGGTAACAGCAATTTATAAAAATGGTTCGATCAATGACCCTAGTAACTATAGAGGGATTTCTGTAACTAATACTCTGTATAAAGTATTTTCTAGAATAATTAACACTCGAGTTCATAACTGGACCGAAAATAATAATAAAACCGACGAGTCACAAGCCGGCTAAAGACACGGATAATCAACGGTAGAAATTTTTTTTTGTTTACTGGCAATGGCTCAGAAATATTAAACAAGGAAGGGGTAGATTCTAATGTCGATTTTAAGACAGCATTCAACAAATTAAATCACGCAAAGCTTTTTGAAATATTATATCGTAGAGGTCTCCGCGGCAAATTTTTACGCGTGCTTAAGACTATGTATTCTACGGTGGCTGATTTTGAACACTTTTGTGCATCGTGTTGTCGCTAGCAACAGCAACAGCACGACAAAGTGCCAAACGGTGCGTTATCGAATTTTCGTCTTGTCTTCCTGTCGCTAACAATACACGCCAAACAGGGCGTTGTCGTGCGGCGTGTTGTCGCGTAGTCACATTGTCCCCGGGCCCAAAATGGAGGGGAATTCCGGTGCAACAAACCCCTTTTAGGGGACAAACAAAAAAATGGGAAAACGCGCCTTTTGGGCCCCTTTTTTGGGACAAGACAAAAAGGGCGTTCAAAAAAAATTTTTGTGCTATGAAAACAAAACGCGAAATGTGTTAGAAAACATTTTTTACGTTCGTGTGTAAAAGTCTTTGTTTTAAAACAAAAAAATACACAAAATTTTTAATAAAAACAATGTTTTTAAAAAATTCCCCCTTAAATTTTGGGTAAAAAAATAGGGGACGTAAGAGCACCAAAAACCCTTAAAAAATGAATTAGTAATTTTAAAAAAAAAAATTTTTTAAAACAACAATAAAAAGAATTGTTTTATGTTTACGGACGACATTGTAACTCCCAAAACCGCCGTCAAATACAGAACACATTTAAAATAAAATTTTTTTTTAGATACGGGATGGAGTTGAATTTTAAAAAAAAGGGTTATGGTATTCAATAACGGAGATGGTTTAGAAAAATTTTGAATCCCCTTTTATTGGATTTCCCGTTAATGTAGTTCAATTTATAAAAAATTGGGTTTTTAAACAACTAAATTTGGAACAACCCCAATAAAAAATAAAGCTTTTTTTAGCCATAAAAAGTACAAAAATCTTTTGACAGGATATTTTTCCAAAACAAAGAATATTTAAAACATGCTTGGGTGAAACCAATATTTTTTTAAGCCCACAAGTATGGGGTTATGTTTGTAATGTATTGAAAAATGTCAAAATAAAATTTTTTTAAATTCCATTTGTTAATAGAACTAAAAAAAAAAATTAAGAATGTGGCGTTCATTTTGTTTTTTTTTTATAATATTAAATTTTTGGTGAAATTACATACTAAGGAACAATCAAGTACAACTCGTGAACAGTAGTTTTTACCTTTTAAAAAAGTTTTCATGATGATGCGGGAGAATAATTGGGGGAATAATAAAATTAAATAAAAACAATTTGATTATTCGAGTAAAGGTTTTGTTTTTTCGGATATCGCAAGAAACATGTAATCCTGACCTTTTTATCCATTCTTTAAAAAGAGACTGGTTGATTGCTATACTCAAATTTGGCATAATAATATAATTATATTAATACTTCCAGTCGATACTTTCATTATAGAAATTTCAAATCACTATTAGATATAGAAAAAAACTTAATACATGTATTTGATTTACCATTCGTTAAGTTTTAGTGGTCTAGCCACAAATTTAAAATTGAAATCGGCAAACATTTAAAAAAACCAAGAGAACAACGCTTTTGTACCTTTAAATGATAGAAATATCTCATCTATTGAATGTGAATTTCATGTTGTTGTTTTTCATGGCTATAAATAAAGTACGCCAACTATACTTACTTAAATTGGTGTGATGGTAGAATAAATTTAAATGATTTTTATTCATTACTGAACTCAAGTTGTGATACAACAATACGCTATGTGTATTTATATACACATGAGATGATATAAGTTGCATTGTATTTTATGGGCCGGTGGTTATCAAATGAATATGTTGTTGTTGTTAAGTCGATCGTGCTGTTTCACGGACAGCTTTTATTGATTGTTTTTTCAAAATTTTCTGACAGTATCCGTTCAGATTAACACGTACAGTATTTGATTTCTAAATGTGACTATTGCTTCCTAAGAATAGGCAAGAATTGAATCAGTTTTCTCCAAATATTCAACATGCACTGTAATAACGCTGTAAAATTCAAACTGATATTTTGCAAGTTTCATAACTGTCTTTTTCTTTACAGATTGAAAAAAACACGTCTTTGTCTCCGGAAAGTAAATCTGTCAAGGATCAGAAGCCTTTTGTAGAAACACCATCTAAGTCTCCAGAAAGTAAATCTGTCAATGAGCAGAAACCTTTTGTTGAAACACCATCTAAGTATCCAGAAAGTAAAACTGTCAAGGAGCAGAAGCCTTTTGTTGAAGCACCATCTAAATATACAGAAAGCAAATCTGTCAAGGAGCAGAAGCCTTTTGTTGAAACACCATCTAAGTCGCCAGAAAGTAAATATGTCAAGGAGCAGAAGCCTTTTGTTGAAACACCATCTATTGGGCGTATTTGTATTCAAAGAGACGGTATTTGTCCTGAAGATAATGTAGCTGCAATAGATATTGGGACATCACTTTCTGGTTGTGCCTATTATTGTAGGGAAGGTATACACATACCGAGTTGGTGGGGTGGTGATGCACTGGGGAGACGTCAGAAAACACCGACGTGTATATTGTTTGATTCCAATGAGGTATTCCATAGCTTTGGTTTTGAAGCTGAAGATAATTATGCGAGTCTTCCTGAAGAAACGAACGATTATATGAATTGGTTTTTCTTTAAGCATTTCAAAATGCAGTTGTACGTAAACATGGTATGTATCAGTCATTGCTATTGCTATTTATAAGAATTTCAGTTCAATCATAATGTTTATATTACCTGAGTTGACCAAAAAAGTTTAAGTTTCAGTTTTTATTAAACCAAGGCATATAATATGCAATTGATTGTAACAAACAAACAAACAGAAAAATAACAGTCAAAATTATACTTATATCGCAATAAAAGAATACAATTATGACAAGCTAAATTACAAAAAGGAGATCATATTGTTCTTTTTTACGACTTTTTTAATTTCCTCAATAGTTATTTCTGCATTTATGAAACTATTATTACAACTTATATTCTCAAGATCTAAATCATCTAAATTGTCAATATCTAGATCAGGCTCACATTTAATTTAACATAATGTTAAAAAAAGACTTCTATTGAAATATTATTTACAGTATCCCTGCTATCTGTGAAGTATCTATTTAACGAACTCCAAAAAGCTTTTGGGTCTGACGACTTTAACCCAAGTATCCGTTTATTAATATTATCTTGATAAGACTTAATGTTCTTGTTTATCATCTTTTTATACGATTTCCACTAGACACCATTGATTGGATCAGTCTTACTTCTTCTGTAATAATTCTTATCTGACAAGTATGTTTTTCATACTTATTTACAATCATCATCAAAGTACTCTTTCCGACGTGATTTCTTACACCTTTAAGTGCTGTTTTGTACAGTATTTTTCACATCAATAATCAAGTGACAGCTATCAGCAACATTATAAAATAGTTGAGAAACTTTCTCAGTAAAGTTATTAATAGCATTGTCACAATAAGTTTTACTTGTAATACAGAAACACTGTCTAAATCAAATCTATCTTTAAACACATCATTCACAGCTGTATCCCATATTGGTTTTTAACAGTAACTTCATTGTCATGTTCAACTTCAGAGTCACATGAACTATTTAGGGTTACAATGGAATAGAAAGAAAATGTATGGGTAATTATTTTATAATGCAAGATTAAACATTTTCTTTACCTTGCACTTTATGTCATACATTTATTATCACTATAAAAATGATATGTAGATTCACCGGTGTCTGTCATTTAAAAGGCTACTTTTCTAAAAATGTTAAAATAAAATCTAGTAAAAAAGTAAAAACTTTTTTGTTTCTTTCATAATACATGTAGTTCGATTTGAAAGAAAAATGAAGAAACGTTTGCAAATACTTAAATAAATACTTTCTTATTTTATAAAGTATATGCATTTTATGGTATGGAAAAATTGACCTGAGATTGATCTTTTTCGGGATGCTTTTCGGTCGTTTGCATACTGTTTTACGATTAATGCATTGGTTTTTAATCCCAGTAGTAAGTATAACGGAATTAGAGTCAACCTAGTTATCAAATCCAGACTTAAAAAACAACCTATATTAGATTTCTTTTATTATTATTTTTAGTTTACCTGTCACAAAGTGACAAAGTGAGCTTTTGTGATCACAATTCGTCCGGCCGTCTGTAAACTTTTACTTTCAACGACATCTCATAAACCGCTTTGACGATTTTATCCAAAATTCACAGGAATGTTCCTTTTGTGGTCACCTTTAAAAGTTGCTCAAACATTTTAATTCCATGCAGAACTTCAGTTGCGATGGCAACGAAAAGAAAAAAACTAAAGTTATCTTCTTTTAAAAATGCCAAAGAGCTATCTAGAGCTAAGCTATTTGACATTAAACAACTTCTAGTGAGTGTCTACCAAGTTTTCTTTTTCAAATAAAAGCTCTGTGGTCAAAATTAGCAACGCCCCGGGGGTCATTGATTTTCCTGATATGCATTTAGGAAAAAAATTAAAAATCTTTTTTAAAAAATAAAAAGAAAGCTAGAGCTTAGATATTAAGCACGAAACATTTTCTAGCGAGTGTCTACCAATTTTGTTTTAAAAAAGCCCTTGGGTCAAAATTGGTCCCGCCACGTGGGGTTTTTGATTTTCCTTACATGTATATAGTAAAGAATTTAAAAATCACGTTTTTAAAAAGTCAAAGAAGCTAGAGCTTAAATATTAAGCATGAAACATCTTCTAATGGTTGCCAACCATGTTTGCTCAAATTAAAGCCCTGGGATCATAATTTGACCCGCCTCGGGGATCATTGATTTTCCTTATATACATAGTAAAAACATAGAAAAAATTCTTTAAAAAAAACCAAATAGCTAGAGCTTAGATATAAAAAATGAAACATCGTCTAATGGTGGCCAACAATGTTTATCAAAAACAAGCTCTGGGGTCAAATTTCGCCCCGTCCCGGGGGTTCATTGATTTTCCTAAAATGTATATAGTAAAATCTTTAAAAAAAAATCTTCTTTAAAATAAAACAAAGAGCTAGAGCTCAGATATTAAGTATGAAAAATCTTCTAACGGATGTCTATCAATTTAGTTCAAATAAAAGCCCTAGGGTCAAAATTGGTACCACCCAAGGGGGTTATTGATTTTCCTTACATGTATATAGTGAATACTTAATACCGCCCAGGGTGTCTTTGATTTTTCTTATATGTATATATAAAAATCTTCTTTAAAAAAACCCAAATAGCTAGAGCTTAGATATTAAGCATGGCACATCTTCTAGTGAGTGTCTACCAAGTTTGTTCAAATAAAAGCCCTGAGATTAAAATTGGCCCCGACATGGGAGTCATCGATTTTCCTTATATGTATATTGAATAAAATCTTCTATTAAAAACACAAAGAGCTAGAGCGTAGATATATAGAATGAAGCATCTTCTAAAGAATGTCTACCAATTTTTTTCAAATAAAAGGCCTAGTGTCAAAATTGGCACCGCTTCAGGGTGTCGTTGATTTTTCTTATATGGAGATAGAAAAATTATCTTCTTATAAAAACACAAACATCTGGAGCTTATATATTAAGCATGAAACATCTTCGAGTCAATGTCTACTAAGTGTGTTCAAATAAAAGCCCTGGGGTCAAAATTGGCCCGGCCCCGGGAGTCATCGATTTTCCTTATATGTATATAGTTAAAACATTAAAAAATCTTCTTTACAAAAACACAAAGAGCTAGAGCTTAGATATTTAGTATGAAAATTCTTCTTATGGGTGTCTATCAAGTTAGTTCAAATAAAAGCCCTGGGGTCAAAATTGGTCCCACCCAAGGTGGTTATTTATTTTCCTTACATGCATTTAGAAATTTAAAAAAAATACTTCGTTTAAAAACCCCAAATAGCTAGAGCTAAGATATTAGCCATGAAATATCTTTTAGCAAAGGCCTCAAGGATGAGTTTTTGTGTTCACTCTGTGTCCGTCGTGTGTCCGTGCGTCGATTGCGTCCTTCACAAAAATGCGTCAAACAACATCTCTTCCTATACTAATTGGCCAATATAACTGAGAAGGAATGTTCCTGGCACAAAACTCTTTCAAAATTGTTCAAAGAATATCATTCTATGCTAAATTGTATTTGTAATGGCAACTGGAAGAGAAAATAACTAAAATATCTTCTTGTCAAATAACCGAAAGAAATAGAGCTTACATATTTATCACGAAACATCTTCTAGTAGGTGTCTAGCAAGTTTGTTCAAATGAAAGCCCTGGGGTCAAAATTGGCCCCATCCCATGGATCATTGATTTTCCCTATATGTATCTAGGAAAAGCTAGAGTCTAGATATTAAGCATGCAATATTTTGTAATAGGTGTCTACCAAGTTTGTTCAAATAAAAGCCCTAAGAGTCAAAACTGGCCCTGGGGTCATTGTACAAAGTTATCATAGAGGCTTTATCTTAGATATTTGATATGAAATATTATCTAGTGGACCTCTACAAATTTTGTTCAAATTATGGCCAAAGGGTAAATATTTACTCATCCCCATGGGACACGTAGTTTACATAGACTTGTGAACCTTTTTACACTACGAACTTTCCTTAAAAACGCAAGTAGAATTCGCGTGTGCGTTTTCTGCGTGGGCCAATAATGAAAAAATAGATTTTAACAATAAGAACTTCATTTTCAGTTCGATATAATCTAAATGACTAAACAAAAATTAAGAATAGTTTATTTTGATAACTTACCGAACGCGATGCAGTGGTTAATCCAAGTTATTAACTTTTATGCATTTACATATTAATTCATATTTGAATCATATTTTAATGAGACTGAATGATGGATTCGATTCTAACAAAAGAACCTTCGTATACAAACATGATAATTTAACCATCTCTTGCATTTTAGTGTGATGATCCTTTTAAATACTGTTAAAGGTGTCATTAAAATAAGCGGGAACCACAAATTTAATGATCCAAAAGTGCATACAAAAGACCTGTGATTAAAGTATCATTTGTGTCCAACTTTGTTGTCATCCAATGAAAACGCTGTATTTCTTTAAAATTCTAGGAATTAATTTTCATAAAAGAACAAAAGTCTATACTGTAACATTCTGACTAAAGTTCAGATCTACTAATTTCTTTTATGTAGATCTGAAGACGACCGTATAGTTTTCGCTTTTTTTTATAAATCGGATTTCCAGAAAAAATCTTTGAGCTATGCTATCAAACCTGTTTTAACATAACCATTAGAAGAATTATCAAAATACGTTATACGTGAAAATTAAACAATTTGTTTATTTTTTGTTAGGAAAAAATGTTTGAAGTAATTTTTAACAAATTACTTGAAAAAATAGAGTCAATTTTTAATGGAAAAAATGGCGAAAATAACTACGTCCCACTGCTAAAATATGGATAATCCTTGTTAACACTCTATTGGTCACATTTTTGCCTCACATGTCATGAAACTTGGTCAGAATGCTTGTCTAGGTAGTTGTTCGGATGAGTTCGATGGGTCAGGTGAGCTATCTAGGACCTCTTGTTTCTTTTTTAACTATACTATTTTGAGTCGTTTCAATCATCATCAAACTTTGTCAGGATGATTATCTAGGTAATAGCTCGGCTGATTTCGAACAGGGGTCATCTCGAATGAAAAACTAGGTCAGAGGAGCTAAAAATATAAAAAAAACTTGTTAACATTCTAGTGGTCACATTTTTGACA